ATTGCTACACTGTGACACAAAGGTCTTAATTTAAGTTTATTATATGTTATATAGGTAGCCCTTGACTTACAACTACCATATTTCCCTGAAAATAGCGAGCTTCCCCAAAAGTAAGTCCTAGCTTGATTTTTACAAGTGCACCCAATAGAAGTCCTACCCCCAAATAAGTCCTAATTAAGACCCTGTCCTCTCCAGGGTCCATGAGTAAAAATTAAGATAGAGTGGGAATGAGGGTGGTGGAGCTGCCCTACTACTTACCTTCTGACAGTTGCAGCCAGGCCTTGCACACCTGCCCTGGTGTGGGCTGGCTTGCCAGCCCATTTCTTTTGCAGCCGGTAAGGCCTACAAGGCTTTCCTAAAGACCTCTGCAGCTGATAACAAAGCTCTGGATCGATCTGGAGCTCTGTTATCAGCTGCAGAGGCCTTCAGCAAAGCCTTGCCAGCCTCAGAAGAAGATTCTGAAGGTGTCTGACAGCGAAAAGGAGCCTGGGAGTGACGCGCACAAGTGAGGTGAGTCAGTGGATGACACCCACCCACCCCCAAAATAAGACCTGGTGTCTTTTTTGGTGGCAAAAAAATATAAGACAGGGTCTTCTTTTCGAGGAAACACAGAATTCATTTAGTGACCAAAGTTACAATGACCCTCAACAAAGTGACATGACCATTTTTTACATGTAAATTTGGACACTTGGCAACTGGCTTGTATTTACGATGGTTTCAGTTCCTGGGTCATGTGTTCACCTTTTGCAACATTCTCACAAGCAAAAATCAATGGGGAAACCAGATTCATTTAACCATATAACTAACACAACAACTGCAGTGATTCATTTAATAACTGTGGCAAGAAAGGTCATAAACGGGGGTAAAATTCACTTAACCATTGTCTTGCTTAGCAGTGATAATTTTGGGCTCAGTTGTGGCCATAAGTTGAGGACTACCTATATATGCTTTTTGTGAAAATGGCAGCATCTATATGTTTTGCAGTTCAATTCTTTTTCTATTGCTATAGTAATATCAGTATAATTTTTAGGTTAACCAGCAGTGCGCCTGATCTGAGATCTTGTTTATTACATCAGAAACTCCAGGTAAATCTTATAAATGCACATTCTTTCTTTTATGTATTAATCTTTATTTGAAAAATTGTGATCAATTTCTATTTAACTGTAACCAGTAAGCCATTCAGCGTTCTATAGATTGGGGGCAGCCTATAAATTTATAATAAGGATTTATATGAAGAAGCATGCTGTCTTTTGTGATAGTAAATTTGAATTCGGGCTACCTTATGACTTCTCTTATGTATGTGAACAAAACATTGCCATTGTTAAAATACCTATTGCTAACTTTAATGATAGAATTTTCAATGGGCTTGATGGGAGTTTGATTGCTTTCCAGATGTTAAATTGTTGCATTGAAAGAAAGAAAGCAAGAGATGATGGGAAAAAAGTGATTAATTTGGAAAAGCAAAAAGACACAATGGATCGAGACTATCCAAAAGAGAGTGATAAAGAAAAAGGAGAAGTGGGGAGATCTTGGGAATCTTGGAGTGACAGTGAAGAAGAGTTTTTTGAATGCCTGAGTGACACAGAGGAGCTTAAAGGAAATGGACAAGAAGGCGGAAAGAAAGGGATTGCAAAAGAAAGTAGTAAAGAGACACTAGCATTGAAGCCAGAGGGCCGTCTGCATCTGCATGGTGCTATGAAATTACTTCACCCAGGACAACCTCTCTATGTGCCAGTCACCCAGGTGAGTGACTAACATTTATAAATATTTCTGCTTCTCTCATATCGCCTAGTTCAGTTCTATTTCTGAGGTAGGGAAAAGGGGCTCCTAGGGTTTATTGGACATGAACAGTATTTAACAATATATCTCATTTTCTCACAGATGTAATTTTGTCTTGGTTTAAAAAAATTATATTCAATATGATTAACGTTCAAACTCAACATGGGAGATGAGCAGTAATCATATTACAATGCTTTCTCCTTTAAACAAATTTTTTAAATGAAAGGGAAGAAAAAAAGAGAAAGCAATAGAAATAGCACTCAAACTTATATACTGCTTCATAGTGTTACACAGCCTTTTCTTAAGCGGTTTACAGAATCAGCATATTGCCCCCAACAATAATCCTGGTCCTCATTTTACTGACCTCAGAAGGAAAGAAGGCTGAGTCAACCTTGTGCCACCACAATGTCAACAGCAAAGTTACGGGTGTATACCTTGGTTTACAACCACAATTGAGCCAAAATTTATGTTGCTAAGCAAGACAATTAAGTGAATTTCACCTCATTTTATTATCTTTCTTGCCACAATAAAGTGAATCACTGCAGTTATTAAGTGAATAATTAGGTCATTAAGCAAATCTGGTTTCTCTCATTGACTTTGCTTGTCTGAAGCCAGCTGGGAAGGTTACCGATGGTGATCACATGAGCCTGGGACAGTGCAGCTGTCATAACCTCATGTCAGTAGCCAAGTGTCCAAATTTGGATCACCTGACCAGGGGATGCTGCTCATGGTCATAAGTTGAAAACGTCCCTTTTTTCAGTGCCATTGTAACTTTGGTTGAAAATTGAAGAACACATGTTTGGGCTTCTCATCTATATAAAGTTTTACATAACTGTTAAGGCATTTCTGTATACCTTTGGATGAAACATTTATAAGTTGTGAATATTATCAGGCCCTCAGTCTACTGAGTAATTGGAGCTGAAAGTATCTCTGCAATGTTGCAAAACTAGTCTCTTAGAGATAGATAGAAATGGCAGAGAATCAATTTCCATGTTCAGATGTGAAATTCCAGTAACAAGTATGGAATGGAATAGAATAGAATTGAATTTGTTGTAGCTAAGGAGGCCATTTTTTTCTTTCTAGCATTTTCCCACAAGTGCAGGGTCTGCTATTTTCAAATCAACCGAGTGTTGATCCATTGGTTGCAATAGGAATTAACTACCTGACATTGGGGGCTGAGAGAGTGACTGGCCCAAAGTTTTTCATGCCTAAAGTAGAACTAGAACTCAATTTCCTGGTTTCTAGGCTGGTTTTTCGCAGGTGTCTGTCTCTCTTTTTTATATAAATAAATATAAATATAAAAATATACCACATTTGTGAAATGTATAAAAACTAGTGAAACTAGTTTTATTTTTATTTCTTTAGAATTAGCTTTAATATAACCAATTATTGCTTTTTCCCCTCTTGGTCTACCGCTACATGCGATGCTTGGCTTTTCTTGCAGTCAGGAAGTTCTCTTAATCCAAGCTGATCTGTCACCTTCCATTTCTGTCTTCTCCTATTTCCTATTATGCAAAAACTTCAGCAGTTGGTTAAATGACTGAATTGTATTTGCATTCAAAAAGTATTAGGTTTGGGACTGACATATCTGGCTTCAGAATACAGAGGTTGAATAACAGGTTCTAAGCATGTGGAAGTCACATTCAGTTCTTTTGTTCATTGTTTTTGTTCCCTAATGCGAGATAAAAAATCTTTAACAGGAATTCCTCTTTCTCTACTTGTTCAGGAACCAGCTCCTATGACAGAAGATCTGTTAGAAGAACAGTCCGAAGTATTGGCTAAGCTGGGAACGTCAGCAGAAGGAGCTCATCTTCGGGCTCGCATGCAAAGTGCTTGCTTGCTGTCAGATATGGAATCTTTCAAAGTAGGCACAGATTGCCAGGGTCATCATGAAATGAATACAGGTAGTCCTCAGCTAAGCACTACAATTGAGCTTCAGATTTCTGCTGCTAAGCGAGACTGTTGTTAAGTGAGTTTTTCCCCATTTTACCACAGTTGTTAAGTTAGTAGCACAGTTGTTAAGTGAATCTGGCTTCCCATTGACTTTGTCAGAAGGTCTCAAAAGGTGATCATATGACCCTGGGATACTGCAACCGTCATAAATATGAAGCATTTGCCAAGTATCCACATTTTGATCATGTGACTACAAAATGCTACAGTGGTCATAAGTGTGAAAACGTGCTTAACTCACTTTTTTAAAGTGTAACTTCAAACTGATTAAACAAATGGTTGTAAGTTGAGGACTACCTGTACAGCAGCATAAGCAACTCATACAACATATTTAGCAGGATATTTCCTCTTTTCTATCATTTTTTCCCCATTTTACTCATTAGTCTTTGACTCCCTTTTGTACTATACATGCTGTAAATGAGAAATGTGGTAGGTTCTCTAGCATGTTTGATTCTTGGCTTTTTTATTCAGGAAATTTTTTATTACCAGTTGTCTGTGTTAATATTAGTCAACATTCTCTCACTCTTTATTTGATAAGCTTGCTCCTCCAAATTATGCTTATTTGGATAAAAAATATGTTTATGGATTGGTTAATTGTCTTATCTATGAATTAAGTAGAGTTTAATTGGAACTTGAAGGAAGCAAAAGCTAAGTGCCCAGTATTAATGTTAAATCTTACAGCAGCTGTCTATTATATGTTAACACCAGGGATGGGTTCTATAGAAGAGGTTCCACAAATCTACAGTGGTGTTTAGAACCGGTTCCAGCTCCCTCCCCCCGCCCGTCCACACATCATCAAGATGAAGAGCGAGAGGAGGAATTCTGGGAGTTGAAGTCCACAAGTCTTAAAGTTGTCAAGTTTGAACACCCCTGGGGTTTTTTTCTAAAGGNCATCCTTCCGAGGTGGGTGAAATGAGGACCCAGACTGTGGGGGCGAAATGCTGACTCTGTAAACCGCTTCGAGAGGGCTGAAAGCCCTATGAAGCGGTATATAAGTCTAATTGCTATTGCTATTGAGATTAATATGCTAATTAAAATAATTAACATGGGGAAAATTTTCAGAAAATTGCTTTAATTCAAAATTGTCTAGACAAGCCATTGCATCTTTTAGATTATAAAAACAAACACATTAGTCAAAAATGGCAGAGATACTAAAAGATGGGGAATGGGGTTTAAGAGTATGCTAAAGATCATTATCAAAACTCAGTGTTTTTATTCAAATACTGCTTTTAAGTGTTTGGGTGAAACAAAGTTAACTTTTTTTTTTAAAGAGACCTGGATCCTGCTCAAGCACCTCAGTGGTCTGTGAGAGTCAAAAAAGCTGATAATCCACAGTGCTTACTGAGTAAGTATTCTCGAGATTTATTCTATCCTTTGCCTTTTTTTCTTTCTCATTACTGATAGTCCTTGAATTACAACAGTTCCTTTAATAACTGCTTGAAGTTAAATGGCATTGAAAAAAACTGACCATTTTTCACACTTACAACCATTGCGGTATCCCCATGGTCGTGTGATCAAAATTTGGACACTGGCAACTGACTCATATATGACAATGGCAGTCTCCTGAGGTCATGTGATCACTCTTTTCAACCTTCTGACAAGCAATGGGGAAGCAAGATCCATTTAACAACTGGATTACTAAATTAACCCAGTGATTCACTTAACTGTGGCGAGTAAAGTTGTAAGATGGGGCAAAACACACTTAACTGTCTCACTTAGCAATGGACATTTCAGACTCAATTGTCATAAGTTGAGGACTACCTGTATTACAGTAAGATATAAAGTTGATATAGCACTATGTGACACTGAAAAGTTCATGTAGATTTTATAAAGAATGCAGTAAGAACAATCTTCTATTTCTTTCTATGTCTTAAAATACATTTCTATTTCAGAAAAAATAGCACTGGAATGTTTTGAATGTAAAATTTTATTTTTTTAAAAACTAATAATTTTATGGCTTCATTTGCCATACTTAAGTATTCATATGTGGGTTTCAACTTCTGTGGTAGCAATAAATTATACCAATTCTTAATGGCACATGTCTGACCTAGAAAGCTCCCTAAACTTCAAAGAAGGCAATTTGTATCTTAATTTTAAATTTAAGTGAGCTTGAACACAGTTTGTTTCAGGTCTTAAAATAACAAACTCAGTTGAATATTCACCCAACATTGGCCAATTACATCTTTTCCAATTAAAATGTGAGATTTGCGTTGACAGAAGACAAATAACTTGATTTATATGGTTAGCTATTCATAGTTAATTTTGAAATCCTTATTCTCTTTATCTTCTTAATGGTTTTGGCACAATCGACTTGCAACAGTTCATATGGTGACCGTTCAAAGTTACAATGGCACTGAAAAAAGGAACTTGTGACCATTTTTCACACTTTCACATGCAGTATCCCCATGGTCATGTGATCAAAATTCAGATCCTTGGCAACGTGAGTCATATTTATGACTATTGCAGTGTCCCGGGATCATGTGATTGCCTTTTGGGACCTTCTGACAAGCAAATTCAATGGAAAAACCAGATTGACTTAACAACCATGTTACTAATTTAAGAACTGCAGTGATTCATTTAACTGTGGCAAGAAAAGTCATAAAATGGAGCAAAATTCACGGTTTGCATGATTATTTTCTCTTGCAGGTGATTTTGTTACTGAATTTTTCAAATTATGTCGGCGGAAAGAATCAACTGATGAGATTCTTGGAAGATCAGCGTTTGAAGAAGAAGGAAAAGGTAAAATTCATAGTTTTTCTGAAACAATCAAAGATTGGAACACTTGGATTTGTGAAAACATCTAAGTAATATTTAATAAAACAATGAGTAACAGTTTATGATTTTTTTAAAAAAAAGAACTGTTCCTGACTTAGCAACCACTCATTTCATGACGTTTGAACATGATAACACTGAATGAGCAGTATTTAAAACTGGTCCTTTTACTAATATTGGTTAGTTTCCTGATGCCTTGCTTGGAGTTACAAAGTTGCAATATTCAATGGTCATGTGATTGCAATTTGTGGCCATTGCCAGTTTCCTATAAGGAGAGTTAATGGAGAAGCCAGCAGGAAATTCATAATGGCGACCATGTGACATTCTCCTTTAAAGGCCTGCAGTGATTTGTTTAATGTTATAGTTTATAACCACATCACTTAGTGATGGAAATTCTGGTCTCGGTTATCATTGTTAAGTCAGGCAAGGTGGAAAAATGCTAAGGAAATCAATAATTTGGATCACTTTTCTTTTGCCAAATCTTGATATTTTGTAGATGCCGATATAAGCCATGCTTTGTCCAAGCTCACAGAACCAGCACCAGTCCCAATCCATAAATTGTCTGTGACAAATATGGTTCACACTGCAAAGAAAAAAATTCGTAAGCACAGAGGCATAGATGAATCCCCTTTAAATAATGAAGTCCTGAATACTGTTCTCATGGTAAGTTACATTTCATGATGAGTTATATAAATTGTCTGAGCCAAAAGTGGTTTTTTTGGTAACTTTCACTTGAATAACAAATCTGACCTGTCTCTGGAAATAGAGATCTTCTAGCAATCACACATTGAAAATGGATTGCTGCTAAATGTCTGGCATTGTCACGAAAAAGCATTTAGAAGGCTCAATTAAAAAACAACAACAGTGAGATTGCTGTCAGGCATTTAGCTTTTGAGATCAGATTGATGCTCTATTAATCACATCAGGTGATAAACAAAATGTGTTGTTGATAGCTTCATAGCAGAAGAAACAATGATTAGGTGTTTAGTAGCCATGTTTCCCAGCAATGAAATGGTAACATCTAATGCATGTGAAAAAAATTGGAAACTGAAGCTATGTGTTTTTCTTTTTAGTATTTATTCCCTGATGCTGTTGACAAATCAGCAGATGGATCTGAAGCTAGAACTAATACTTCAACAGGAAGTATTCCACCCCCAGATAATGAAGACTCCGTAAGTTCAAATACATATGTGAAAAACATGTACCGGATTTTAATTACTTGTATTCAAATGAAAAGCAAATTTCACGGGTTTCATTGGAATGCCTTTTCAAAAGCACATAATGCTTTGTTTTAAAGAAAACAATTGTGCATATTAAAACTAAATCCTACAATTTAGAATACAATTTGCAATTCTGTGCACAAGTTTAATACTATTTTACAGATTCTTTTCATTTGTCCTTCTATGTAGAATCTCTACATCCAATTCAAATCTGCTCCTTCAGACAGTCTGACCTACAAACTGGCTCTTTGTCTTTGTATGATCAACTTTTATCATGGCGGAGTCAAAGGGGTTGCACATCTCTGGCAGGAATTTGTCTTGGAAATGCGCTATAGATGGGAGAACAACTTCTTCATCCCAGGGTAAGTTTTATGCCTATTATTTAGTTATTACTAATAGGAAATCAATAACATCCCTCAGAGTTAGTTTGAAAAGTGAAGTGTTACTGCCACCTGAAAAGGTTATTCGCAATCAGTTTCTTTTTTTCTTTTTTGAATTTTTTTTATTGTTTTAGTTAAACAAAAAACCCCAAAAAGAATCATATTTCGTTACATCTTGTAGAAAGCGTATCAATTGGTTACAAATATATTCCGTGCGTTTCTTCCCATCCTTACATATACTTCATTCAAATCGAGTTGTACATTTTAAGTAAAAAAAAACAAATGTGTATTTTACTATCCCTATACCACAATTCTCATTTAATTACCATTATTTAAACATGTTTTTATCTAGAATCATTTATATTTAAAGATCCAACAACCTATTGGCATTCATTTGCAGTTTCAAAAGATCTACAATAACATTACACCTTTATGACATATTCTAAAACAACTTCAGTTAAGTAAGATATCTAAGCATTCCCCCCCCCCATAACACACCTGTATATATCATTAGATATTATCCATTAACATTTCTTTATTATTATTGTAGTTGACTAAAAGT